TGGTCAACACTTACCACATTTGTATATCAGAGGAAGGGAAAAAGGAAGGGGTAGGGTGGAGAAACAGTATATAATGTAAAAAAAAAAAAAAAAAAAAAAGGGCTAAAAAAGTTTTCAAGAACTTAGAAAAACAGCCACCCCCATACTGCCTGCTGTGATGCAGTTGCAATGCTCTACATGAGCCTGTAGTCATGACAAAGTGGGTTGATTGGAAGGGTGTATTGAGCTAGTAATGGTTCACTTAGTTGAAGTGTCATTGTACTTACAGTAAAATTCTGCATGGGAAAAAAATTAATCAACTTACAAAGGATGTTTCTTCAGTCCATGCACTTCAAATTTTGAATAAAATGTGAAATCAACAAGATCAAGAAGAGGTCTCCATGGCAAAACAAGGTCATCTCTGGAAATCAATTTCTTCTTCCTAGAACAAACACAAACAGAAAAAAACTGTAGCGCCTTTGACAAACATAATTATACACATTTTGTGAGAGCACTCAGAAGTTTCAACAAAAGCTGGACACTGTCCATCCATCCCCACCTGTAGCACCCAGGACTCAAAACTAATGGTAGCCCACAGACTAGTAGAAATTCAGTTTTGGCCAGTGGTTTTCGATTTTCACTAGCCCGTTTGGCTAGTAAACAAACTGAAATTGTCGTAACACCTAATAACATCTAGGATGTCACTAGCCACTTGGCTAGTAAGTTGAAGAGTTAGTGTCGAGCCCTGAGCACCTCTCCCTGCCTTTAAGCAGGCTCTCTTGTTTGGGTTTTGCCTTATGGGATGGCTGCCTAATGCACTGATAGCAGCCCCTTGTGGAAGAAGTAACTGAAACCTCTGAGCACTTTTCTGCAACCACTAAAGCCTAGGTTTGACTCCCAGGCCACATTTCACATGTAATGGAGTTGGTTGGTTCTTGTCTTTAGTGCAAGGGTTTTTCCACAGTCTGTTTGGATTTCCTTTGTCTGTAAAACCCAATGCACTCCAAATACCAACTTCAACCTGAAAACAGCTGACAAGAAGACCCTTTAGGGAAATCCAGAACAAAACCCAAGGCTCTAACCTGAATTTTTTTCAAAATTGCCTTTTGACTACTGAGGTATAATAGTACTGGAAAGTAATATCTTAGTTATCATAAAAAGGAAAGAACCCAACACTTTGCAGAGATTGAAACTGATTATGAGAGATTGAAATGGTTGAAGCTAAGAGATTGCTGAGGTCTGATTGCATTGTATACTGTGTGACACACAGTGTGCAAGTTACCTGCATTTATTACACGACTCGGGCAGTCAGAGGGCCAATAACTAAAATCAACCAATCAAAATGCTCTATTGCCGGTCAATACTCTCTAAGTATTGGACTGGGCACTGTCCCGAATGGTCCCAAATGATACCGCACGAAGTCCCTTCGAACTTCAGTCATATAATAAATCTCTTGCTCGGCACCATACTGGAAGAATATCGGTCCTCAGTCTATTTTGAATATCGGTCCTCAGTCTATTCTTGACAGTACGGACCGAGCTACGCTTGGTCCGTACTGTCAAGACCTCGGGCCGATATTCTCCCAGTACGGCCCTCACGCTTGGTTAACAAGATATATGTAATGGATTGGAATTGCATGTGCATTGATTACATTGTACAAGCATGACGCTGCAGGACACAGGAGCAGCACAGTTGTTTGGGACCTGACTTGGAAACTGAGCAGTGATATAAACTACACTGTAGGGTCTGCATGCAAAAAAATGTACAGAAAAGAGCTGACAGCCAGTAATTTCCTTCAGTATTCTGTAGTAGATGATCTTATCAGAAACACCCAACTTACTTGAGTAGAAGAATCAACACATGGCCAAATGCAATCACATATTGTGGATCAAGGTTTGGTGCTGTTACCAGCTCAAAAAAGATGTGTATAAAATGGAGATGGTCTTCTTTTGAAAACTTCCTTCCATAGAGCTTTATGAAGCTGGAAAACAAATAAAAATGACAAAAAATCATGCGCTGTCACTGTACTTCAAATATTGCAACAATTGAATTGTGCATGTTAACAAAATGTTTAGAATACACTGTACATGTACAACATAACCTGTATCTACTGTACAAGCTGTGGTTCAAATGTTATGTACTTATGAAATGAGTTTGGTTGGGCAGGTGGGAAAAATATATTTGGCTCAAGGTCATGACGTACAGTACAGACTGAGTGCACCATAGTTTTCTACATGGGATTGCTCTGGCAGGGTCAGACAGGTCGTATAATGTTCTTCATTTTTTTGTCAGTTCTTTTATGAGTGGGCAACATTCTACAAATCCTGAAATCTGATACGATCTGAGTGCAGGCCACATTCTCCCATCGGCCTTCTCTCAGCCAGTGGTATCTGTTTCATGGTGAGTCACTTTGCTGAAGATCTCTAGCTTTGTTGCAATTTTTCACCAGCCTAGGTCTGTCTGTATTGGGAAAAACTGTGCCCTCCCTCTTGAGTGCTGCCCTTGGCCTCCAGCCTCGGGCAGTATTGAAGACCTCACCCACCGTTTCTCCCAATACAGACCTTCCAGCTGGTGAGTAACATATATATGTATGTATATAATGTGTGTTAGGCGGAAAAAAAACAACTACATTTACATCCCTACAGACCTGTTTCGTGGTTGCCCACTCATCAGGGGATTTTAATGGCAGAATAATGCGATACCATATATATATATATATATGTGTGTAGCGAACAGAACTCAGAGATAAACATATCTTTATTTTCTTTCAAAGGAAAGCAATGCGTGGTCAAGCTGCCGTTCGGGAGTTGCACTGAAATGGCTTCCTTGTAAAATACTTCTTTACATCTAAATTATGAAGCGAAAATGCCATTAAAAGGCAGAACTAGGTAAAATAAATTAAGACATCCTGAAAATATGTCGAAATAGTTCTATGGAAGTTCAAAATTTGAAATAAAGAAGTGAAAACCCGAGACTTAATTTATTTTTGTTTTGTCTTTCAAAACAAGAAATTCGTGGAACAGAGCGACAACGTGTTTGGTCTTTTTCTTGGTGTTTTCCTTTTCCTGTCCATCTATGACCTCTTCTACTGATGAATCTAGGCTCTGAAAATGGTTAGTCTGATTTGAAGCCATCTTTCTAAAGAAAAATGCGCCTAAGCTCTTAGAAATGTGCTATTTGTCAGTCAAGAGGAGCGGCYAGTGAGTGACARGGTTTTGTTCACTAGTGAAAATAATGATATAGCCAATCAGAGAGTCGATACGTCGTTTTTCACTAGTGGTAAAAAAATGTATGACCAGTCAGCTGGTCCCTCTAGCTTGAAGAGACTATTTTTATCTTGATGTTTTTTGGCGTGTAAATCTCGTTATGTATATAATAATATTCCATATGAGGTTGCTTGGACAAATATAACAGTTCGACAGCAATAAGCCATCTCACATTTCAGAATCTTCTAGACCTTCTAAAATGTAACCTTATAACTTTGTTGATCCCAAATTTGAATCTCTGACAGTTGAAGAACACAATATCAATGAACTGTACTCTGGAATGATTAAGCCTCCCTTTTTTTTCCAAAAATAGGAAAACTAAAGATAAATGCAGCACTGTGGTACTGGCTTTTTAAATGCTGATTTCTGCACAATTGATGATAATCCTTGCCAAAAGCAAAAAACAGACATGATATCAAATAAGAAGGTAAATAAAAATGGGAAAACATAAGGAAATATAGCTAAATGAAAATAAAATTCCTACTGCTATGGATCCATGCCTAAACCTCTTGCTAGAGAAGAGAAGTGCTATCCATTGGACCGAGTTTACAGAGTATGCTTGGAGATGATAACAACATTTCTCACCCAAAAATTTTTCAAAATCAGAAGTAAGTTTGAGTGGCACACAGTAATGATGCCCACTTTCAGAATTATGTTTGCTCAGTGACAGAAAACTGTGAATGAGTCTGCTAAAAAAACTGCTGACCAATCATGTATGACTTAGGCCATTTCCTGTACCTGACATGTGTTCTTAGTATTTTCAATTCCCTTCTAACTTAAGTTTTTGGTGAAGATAGTCAACCTTTATTTCATGATGATGTACATGCACATGTACATGTACAATGCACTGCACTGCTGAGAGCATGAATCAATCATGCCTGTTTGTGAATTCATATTGGCCCAAAATTGAACAAATTAGTTCTTATAACCAAACATAACTTGCATTGTACAGCTTGAAAGGCTGACCTACATCCCATATGCTGTAAAAAATTTTAAAGCTGTTTTGATCAGAGGAATAATTGAAATGATCTCTTCTAATACAATAATGCAGGTGATCTTCACCTTGAACCGAGCAAGTAATCAAGTAATCTACCATGGATGTATATTAGACAGTCTGTTGCCATCAAACTTCCCAGGAAACTGTTTGATATAATTATAATAGGAAATTAAAAAATTCTAGTTTATTTTCCTATTTGTAAAATTAAATTATTAGCCCAAAGTAAAATCTTAGCACCCGAAAAAAACCGGGGAGTCCTCTCTAACGGATGTCAGACTGGATGTAAGCTTTAATAACCGGGTACAATAGCTATAAGTCTGGTGACCATCAACTTCGAGTTCAAAACAGTAACTTACTTTGCCAGCCTATTGCTCCAGTATAGAATTCCAGGGCTGATCTCTTTAAAAACAACAGCTCGTCCAAGACTGTATTTAATTTCCGATAGAAACTTGTTAGACTCTTCGTCAAGCTTATCTTTGTACGGTAAAAAGTTATTGTAAACGCTTGGTCTCTGTGGCCTGAATCCTAACGTAGCTTTGAACGATGCCATCTATGCAAGATCACATCAAGCTGTATTTCCTCTTTTTTAACCAAGCATCTTACTGCTAAAGAAGAAAATGTTTGTCAATCTGAAAAAAAAGGCCAACCGTAAGGGTAATTTCGCCGATTCACTATTACAAAGCATGGTCATGGACTCAGCGGATACCTGCGTTTGCTCATGCGTACATTATCAAGTCTTGTTGCATTCGAACTTCGTGTCGATATTAACTTTTTTCTTTGAAATTTAGAGAAAAGCTGTTAACAAAACGTTCTAATTGTCTTAGCGAGGTCTATGGAAAGTCGACACCCTTTGAATCTGACTTCATAACAGAAAGAAACTGCGGTATAAAACGTTCACTTCTTCATCTGAGGTAGATCGGGCGAATCTTGAGTGCATTGGTTCCCAGAGTCCCTCAGTCCCCACTTACGATTTGTTTCCAGCTCTTCTTGGCCAGGACTTCCTTCCCATAGCTTCCGGGTCCTTAGCCCTTTCGCTCCGTGTGCTAAATGGCCTCTAAAAATCACATGAAATTAAGAGATTTGATCAAGAACTTATTAGAAAATGCAGTCGCAGAGTACACATTTGCATATTAATAACTTTGAAGATAGACGCTATACGGCGTCGTGTGCTGGAGCTGAGTAGTCCCATTTTTTTTGTTTTTGTTTTTTTTTTTGACAATGAATGTATTAAGACTTTTCCGTACAAGTGGTTCGGATTATAGTTATAATTATACCTTTACAGGCGCGTAGCGTCCTCTACGCATATACGCACGCGCGTACTTGATGTTACCAGAAAAATTTAGAAACAATGTTGTGTTTGCGTCAAGTTTGCTCAAAATAAGGGCAAGACGCTTTGTTCTTTGCTTGTATTCACACAACTATTTCAAACAAGAAATAAAGAACGCAGTATTTTTCGCTCAGTTTACTTAGGTTTCTAGATCATATGTACTTGTGCGTACTTGAAAAAATGACCACGCTACGCGCCCGCTTTACAAAGTGACGAAAGATACTTTTGACCCGTTGGTGGGAAAATCAACACAACACAGCGGTCAGACGTTGCAAGGGACAGTTGGTGTTCTTAAAAGCGCTTATGCGCGATGACGTCAAAACAATTTCTCGCAGCGTCAAACCGAGGCTTGGTGGCGATCGCTTCGAGTGATTTGTTGGTGTTTTGAGAAATAATCAATTCCCCTCGTCTGTTTTTTTTCACTTTTTGCTCGAAATGCCTCAATGGTGTATTGCCAAGGGCTGTACAAACTCTTCAGAAATGAAAATAAAAAAGTCCTGACATCGCGTACAGCTGGAGAACAAAGAACTGCTTTCGAAATAGCTTGCAAAAATTCGGCGAACACACCAGTTAATGAGCACTCGAGGCTATGTGGCGACCACTTTGAAGCCCACTGTTTTAGGAAAATCCCGGGTTCCTTGCTTGTCAACTTGAAACCAGCGTCTAATCCCACAAAGTTTTGCTTTGTGCAAGAAAAACACAGAGGAAACCTCCAGCAGAGCGAAAATCGGTCGAACGAAAGCAGCCGACTTGGTACGCAAAAACAGCGTCAAACGATTTGCCAGAAACATGTGAACAACTCACAACATTGGTGGTGATGGTTTCGCGGGAATATCTAAGAAAAATATATGTCACATCGGACATGACTGTAGGAAATTCGCCTAAAATCACTCTTTCTGAGGATGAAATCGACGGAGCTTCCTTAAGAGTGAACACCCCTAGTCAACTGACTATTCCCGCGTTAAAGAGATGGCTTTCCTGCAGGAAAGGAGCGAAATTGAGCGGAACGAAGCGATCCTTGGTCGAAAGGTAAATACACGTGAATAGCTTATTTCCCCGGCTTACCGGTATTTTACGTTGGATGATCAAACTAAGAGAAAACAACTGTCCTTGTCAGAGTTCAAAGTTATATAAATAGTGCTCTTGATCAGGACCTTATTGATCCAGACAATGCTGTCACTTTCAAAGCCATCACATGTTTCTGGCAAATCGTCCTACGCTGTGTTTACGTTCGAAGTCGGCTGCTTTCGTTCGACCGAATCAGTTCGCTCTGCTGGAGGTTTCCTCTGTGTTTTTTCTTGCACAAAGCAAAACTTTGTGGGAATTGACCCTGGTTTCTCAGGGATTAGAGCTAGCTCTAATCCCTGAATTGAATAACCTTAGCCGTTGGCTCAAAATGCTAACAAGCTCAGTCTAAATGTTGCTAAAACAGAGTTAATGATTATTGGATCAAGACAAAGACTATCTGCCCAATGTAACGACTTAGAAATCAGAATTGATGACCAAATTATCAAGAGAGTCGACAAGACCAAATCTTTGGGTCTTACTATAGATGCCCAACTCTCTTGGGGTAGCCACGTTGAAGAGATTTGCAAGAAAGTCTCTTCAACTGTAGGCGCCCTAGAATGTGTACGGCCCTTTATATCCAAAGAAACTGCAATTCAAATTTATAACGCTTTGATTATGCC